CAGAACGCTGCCGCGCAGAACGCCGCCGCCCAGAATGCCGCCGCCCAGAACGCCGCCGCGCTGAACGCCGCCGCCCAGAATGCCGCCCAGAGAGACCTAAGACCCAGACCCCGTCGCCGTCCACAAAGATTTGGTAAGTTCCTGATTTGCAGATGTGCACTTTTTATCACACCTCACACTGATTATGATGGCTTAAATATGGCTGAGCTGCACAACAATAGACCGTTCCAGATCGAACGCATCGAATCCCCTATTCAATTCCGAACACCTCCGTCAAACTCAGCACTGAAAATCTAAAAGCAGGAAACTGAGTTGATGTCTGCTTGATCCATGTGAAACTGATCCATGTGAAACTGAAATTGTGACATTGCATGCACTTTCAACTTGAAGTTGATTAAAGAGTAAAGACGTTCTATTACTCTTCCAGTTGTTCATAAGCTATCATTATTGTTTATGTCTGTGTTTGCGTGCTTATTTTTCTACTTGTACCACAAATCCCTTTATAAGTTGCGCCCTCGTCCCCGTGAGTTTTTATTTCCCATTTCGTTTTTTTCCCGAGCTTGTATGCAGCTGTGATGCATGCAGTAAATGCCGTGGAAAACCTGTTACAGATAAACGTACTCTGTTTCATACATGTATCGGCTGTTAGTTAGCAACCGGGCACTCTTGTCCACCTACCGAGTGATGATATGCGGCCAATCCCGTGTCTGTATTGAGTGAAAAAATTTGCTCTCATTGAAACTACCTCAGAGTCCCCTCCTAAAATAATTCTACTCTCCGGATGTACCGTTCAACAAATATAGCTTAACCAATTTTTTTGTCTCCTGTGAGTTTTTCGCTGCCGAAAAATTGACCCTAAAGTTGGGCTGCAAATCCGATATTCTGGTGGTGGCATTTGGTGCGGCCCTTCCCGTGCTGATTTTGACGGACGTGTTCGAAATAGAACATGTCGGGGGTTTGATGTGTTCGATCTGGAACGGTCCATTGTGTTTGTCCTAATTTTGACAAACTTTGGAGAATTGTTGCCTATGGACACTTGTTTTTCTTTTGTCATGAGCCAGATTTTTTGGACGATACCCACAAGCTGCATCCTTGCCAGTATTTTTTAAGTTTCTCCCAGTCTTTTATCTCCCCTTTTGGTTAACTACATGCAGGCTTACCCAAGGTCCCAGAGTTACCCAGCCAATGTCTGAAAGCTGTCAAACTTTGGCATTTAAGGAAGGGCATCCAGGCAGTAAAAACTTGCCTCAAACCCAAGACTTGCACAGGATACTGAGGAGCCCAAATGTACATCAGAGGCACAAGAACTGTAACAGGGAGTAACAGCAATACACCCCAACAGCCATATACATAGAAGATTATTGCCTTTACCTAGAAGATCATGATATGCAATAGATGGCATTGTGTATGCTTGGACATATGTTTGTGGTTTAGCACGTAAGGCATACATGTATGTACATAATTTTGTACTACAAACATGCTAAATGTTTTTACCCTAGAGCAAAGCCCTCCTAATGCTAGCCTGTTTGGGGGGATCATGCAGCTGCGGACAAGAGACATAAAATTTTCAGTCTGAGTGATGAAAACGTAGAATTAATAAGTGATTGGATACTGGCCTTACGAAAAAAGTAGTACTGGATGTCTCAAGTCACATTCCCTGTTGTGTTGTATTGTGTTAAAACCACCTTAAGTTTTTCTAGATCGCAAAATTTGTGGTGGAAAATGACGCTGAGAAAACATTGCCATCGGGCATCGTGAAGTGTTGGCCTCTTTGGTGATCTTTGACCACAGTTTTGCCTGTGAACGCCACACAAACAACATGACCAGTGTTTCTAAACCCAGTAACTTTTAAGCGCATATTTGCCCCATTTTCTGTGTTCAATGCGAAGTTCCACCTGTAGTCAACTTGTAATGTAGGCACTTATTTTATCAACGCAAGAATTCATCCAAAACGTGTCGAGAGAATAAACATTCACATACATCTTGAATTCTCGCAAAGTCTCACAAAAACGCACAAGGACAAAGTAAATTCTGATCAGCTGATGATCTGATCTACAGTGAGTCAGCTATTTGTCAGTACATGTACCAAAATATATGTGTGTGTTTGGTGTTTGGTGTATGATGTATGATGTGTGTTTTGGGTATGATGCCTGTTTCATCAGTTTTTTGAGATCGTGTAACAGTGAGGGATTTATAGGTGCTACCAACTGATCCGTCTGACGGGTCTAGACCTTTTAGCCGAATGGTTAGAGTATCGGGGTGCAAGCTGGCGCCAGGGTTCTGCATGGGTTTGATCCCCGGCCTGGGACAAGGGGTGTCTTTCTGTTTCTACTAATGCTCCTAGTTTTTTACCATTTACCCTGGGTGCCAAACTAAGTATCGAGCTGTTAGCCGTTTTCCTTCGGCAGCCAAGAGCCCTTCCCTTGCCTATCAAAATTACCGCCATGGAGGAGTTGAGCCCAGGAGAATTTGTCCAGCCCTAATTGTAAGCACCAGCCAATCTCCCCCCTTACTAGCAGTAATTTAGACCTGCGGAAGAAGGGCTCTTGGCTGCCGATGGGAAATGCTAGCAGCCCGAAACGAGTTTGGCATCCAGGCTACTTACAACATTATTGTACTGACAGCTAACATGTCTCCTTCATGTGTTTTTCTCATAGATGAGGACCCTCGCTTTGCGTGGCACCCCCAAGATCGCAAGCGGCCCCGCAGAAGATAATTTAGTAGGTTTTCTTTTTCTGAAGTTTTTGTTTTGGGGGAAGGGGGTTCACAGGGGTCTAGGTTTTGTTTTGTGTTTTAGGTGCTTGAGGTTGTTTTGAGGTTGCATAATACATCTAATAATTCGGGCCTGCAAGCTCTTTTCCGTAGAGCGTAATCGGCCGTTTTAATCCTACGTAGAGCGTGGACGGACCGCTCTAATTATTTTGCGTAGAGCGTATTCCCCGTTTTAATTCTAAATAATGCGTTGCAGCCACTTGGAATTTATCGTAAAGCGTAATCAAGAGGTTTCCAAATTCAGTGTAGAGCGTTCTCGGGACCCCCCTTGCAGGCCCTCAATAATAATTGTGGTCAGTTATTACTCTAGTATTCTTTCTAATCCCCACAGAGGAGAAGTCAGTCATCAGAAAGGGGCCATATACATCAGGGCATTACGTTACCATCCCTCAACAGAGACGGGGCGCCACAGACTTTCTGCAACCTATGATCCACTGCTCACGGAGTCACGTGTGTTATCTGCGTGATGTCACGGAAGCGGCGGATTGGTCATTCCTTGACAAAGGACTGTGTAAATAGGTAATTGTTTTTGTGTTTTTGTATTGTTTTAAGTTGTACCACTGTTCCACATGGAGGGTGGGGGGATGGGGTTGCACCAAAAAAAACTTAAAAACACCAAAAAAAATAAAAAACATAAAACTCCAAAAAAATAAAAAACCCTCTAAAAGCCCAAAAAGTAAAGAAGGGAGGCAAAGTCCGTCTGCCACCTCCACGCGGTGCCTCCCGGTAACGCTTCATGCGGCTAACGGCAGCTAACGGCAACAAAATTTCAAACAACCCCCAGTGCTTGCAAACAACAGCATTGGCCATTGGCTTTACACATTGGACATTAATAGTTTGGAGCCTTCGTTTAACAAATTGGAGTTTCGTTTACACATTGGAGTTTTCTTTGACACAACGTTGAGTATCACAGTACAACATTCTACAAACCTGACGAGAAGTTGTTTTCGAAAAAAAACAAAACAAATGGGATACTACTGGTCAGGAGTTTCCTTTGATTCACACAACTTTAGTATTTCTGTACAACCAACATGACTGTCCCAGGGTTGCTTTTAAACTGCAAACCTGAAAGCAAGTGAACATTCTGTGTGTCTCTACTTACTCCCTGGATTTTCTGCAAACTCAAACCACCACCAACTGTTTTTCGAACTTAAGTTCCCGCAAACTTCAATTCAAACAAATCAATCTAATATCAATAAATCGATTTAAACAAATAAAAAAATAATTTAATAAACCCTTTTAAACAAATCAATCTAAATCAACTGGGGTCATGTGGTGCAATCTCATAAAACAATGTGGGTACAGTGGTACTGAATTTCAAAACTGTGGTGCAAATTCTCAATGCATGCCCGTAGCCAGGGTTGGGTTCGGAAGAAGGCTGGAATTGTAGGAAAACTGCTCACTTTGTCATTGAAAAAAGTTATCTCTGATTTTTTCTTTGAAATCCTCTAAAAAAACGCAGGAAATGCCATTTCAGAAGGTTCATTTTTCAAAATGTCTTGGGGAGCATGCCCCCCAGACCCCCCTAGGAACCTCGCTGGTCCCTCAGCGCTCGCTGGTCCCTCAAGCAGTGGGAAGAACCCCCCCCATTCAAAATCCTGGCTATGGGCATGCAATGTGGGTACAGTGGTACATTGTATTGACTTTCAAACCAGTGGTGCGAATTCACAATGTGGGTACAGTGGTACAGTCGGACTTTCAAAACTGTGGTGCAAATTCACAACCAATCGAACGTGGGTACAGTGGTACATAAATGTATTGACTTCCAGAACAGTGGTGCGAATTCACAATGTGGGTGCAGTGGTACTGACTTTTAAAACTGTGGTGCAAATGTAGAATATGTGAACAGTGGTACTAGTACTAGTCGGATTCAGGGTTTAAAACATGTGAAAATCAGCTCAAGTTTGTTGGCTTATTCCAATGACTAAGGATGCGATTAGGATCAGCGGAGAGCTGTGTGAACGCTTTAGTCTAACCAACACGTAGAAAAATTCCAAAACGATTTCATGATTGAACTGGTTCCATTTTTTGAGAGTGAATGGGATCTTATATTTAGGGACAACCAATAAGTGGTCACATCAATGGCTTAGGGTTGTGAAATGTACTTTGGTAAAGGCTTGACTATATCAAACAACTGTACAAGACTAAAACTGTATGTAGCCAAGATCCCAGCGGGTTAAGGTCACAATTTGGCCAGGTCAC